TGCTTTTTTTTTGTTTTCTGAACTTTTCAATAAACAATATTGTACAACAATTTTTTTTGGTTAGTCTTTAATTTACATAAAATTTTTTTAGAAAAACTTCATGAATACAACTGATATTTTTTCTGATTGTGGACTTGACTCATAACTTGTTAAAAGTTGAAGCATACTTCGTTCATTTTACATTTAAATGTTTCAACTTATCAACTAAAGTATACTTTTAAAATGAACACTTTTATAAAAGTTAATTCTCTCATGATTTCTTATAATAAAGCGAAACAAAATACTCCCAAATTTTTAGGAATATTCTCAATACAACTATATAAAAATAACGAGCGTTTTATATGTACAATAAAATCAACACTAATACCTCAAAACAGTTAACCCTTCCTTAGCATATAAATACTCTCGAATAAATAGAAAAAAAAATAGTTTCCACGATTTTACAGATTTATAAAGCACACCATCAAGAAAAATTCTGAACAGCGAAAAATGTATAGGTAAAAATTAAAAAAAAAAAAAAGTCAATTTTCCATGGATACCTTAGATGAAGGTTTTTGAATTTAAAAGAAAAAAAAGAGTAAAATTTGCTCTTACAAACGTATACGAGTGTATTTCGAAACATGTGCGCGTTAGCCGCTTTTCCAAGCAAATTTCACTCTCATCTAATTTTCCATAGGCCACGAAACGTTGTAATAATAAGTACTCATCTTCAGTATGATTATTCGTACATTCGTTCGTTCAAAGTTACAAATTTAGCGAACGCAATGTTATTGGCAAAAAAAAGTACTTTTCGCATAGAGTCTAAATTCCCTACTTATCATTATATATTACGTATATACATGTATTCAGAAAATTTCCAAAAAAATTTTCCATTATTTTTTCCATGACTCCCCACGTCCCCTCACTATACCTAAAGACCCTTCACTACCCCCCACTCCATATTCGGAACCTCTGCAGCAGCTTTAGCCCCCCCCCCCCGCAAAATTAGGAAAAATTCCATAGATTCGTCCGTTATTTTAATTCGATCAAATTTTCGGTTATTTCTTATACGAAACTTCAAGGAAACACAAAACACCTCTATTCCTGATTTCGATAAAAAAAAAAAAAAACATCGGTCAACCAATGTAGCGATCTGTTAATTCATTATAAAAAATTTTTTTTATTATAAAATAATTTGTTTAAACGTATGGATATATTTGCTCATTATTTCGTTTTTTCTTGAAAACCCTTTCGTTTCCAACCTATTCCTTTTTTCGAGCCTTCTCTTGGAAAAATTCCCTACCCACGATTTTCAACAATTATTCAAATTCCTCTAATGGATAAGAGTCATGCCGATAACTTGACTGTAGGCACTCATAGCTATCTGCCGCATTTTTTAATAACTTACATCAAGTTAAACGTAAATAATTTAATTTTTCTAAAATTAATAGGAATTAACAATTTTATTTTAACAAAAAGACTGGTGCACGGAGTACGCAGTGTACCCAAAAAAGAGATGGTTCTCTCTATGTGAGTTCTCTAAAAATTTGGCACATTGGCACTTTAAAAAAATTTTTGTCATTATGTAAAAATAGGATTAATTATTGGGCCTTAATTTAACAGAAGAAACACAAAATAATCAGATACACAGTTAGTGTTTATAGGCTTTAGTGTTGGTGATAAAAACACGCAATTTAGTGTAAAAAAAAAAATAGTAAACATTTAAAAAAAATTTTATTTATTGTACGTATAATATAAAAAAATCTCGTATGTTGTTAATACACTTTTCATTTGTTAAATTACATGTAAAATCAAAGTAATTTACCGAATTACTATTCCTTTTTTTTACGATGGTCAATTTGACATTAAATATGATACTATGGTATCCCCAGTGAAATCTAGGGTTTTTTCAAGACGGTTCCCCTAGAAAATAGTTTGCGTCAGTCTACGCAATCCGCCACGACGCTAGATGGTGCTGATACACTACACAGGATGTCAAATGTCAATTGACAATTATGAATAGAATATACTAAATTTTAAGGATTAATGGTAAACATACGAATTATGTAATTATGTAAGTGTATAATGTTCTAATGTATATCACTTATCACTGCAACTGCGCTACGGCTGTATGTAACTTTGCCACTGAAAAATTAAAAAATTGAAATTGACAATACCTACTTACCCCACATAACCTCGTTTACCAGAATCTCTCATTCTCTCTGGCGTTTGGGTTGTTGTAGTTTTTCCTGCGAGCGTAACCAGTAATATTGTAGTGTGTGTATAGTATGTAGAAACAACAAAAACATTTAAACCGGTTGTAAACATTAAATATGTCAGAGAGGACAGCCACGCAAGCTGAGATCCTGCGATCTCATCAAAGGGATAATGATTTTATATCCCAGATAAGTGAAAACCTTACAGACCTTCTCCATAGATACAATTTGCACAGGAATTTTTCACGTTTCATGAAATCTGAAATACCAGCTAAACTGCTGTACTTCATTGTAACTTCTGGCTTGGGAAATCAGACTCTAGGGGAAGAGTACACTGGAATCATACAAGCTGATTTAATAACCTACAGAGTTCCTTCATTGATGGTAAGCAAAATTTACAATTCAGTCCTTCTAATCAAACCTTTGGAATCTTTCATACAATTGGAATTTACAGAGAAGGGTTATTGCAGCCATACTAGAATGTTTTGGAGAACAAATGTTGATGAGACTATTGGAGAAGCTCCAGGTTAAAATTAACAGACCTGACAGTGATCTGATGCCACAAGCCAAAGCATTCCTTAATACATTCTTGAGCAAGTTGCGGATGGTGCTTCCAATTTTTATTTTGGTTCATAAGGGTCTGTTTTACATCTATGGAAGGTATTACAGTATAGGAAGGAGGCTCACTGGAGTGGACTATCTCAAGGTGATTAAATACAATCAAGGTGCTAATAAATTTCAATTCCTACTTATTCAATTTTTTTTTTTTTTTTTCTAGGCATATGGACCTAGGCCACATAGTAGTGTAAGCTGGGGCTTGAGGATTTTGGGTTTTGCAACGATAGCTCAGTGCTTGTGTAGACTCTGGCAATATAGAAATGTCAAGGATAAAAGTATGAATGAGGAGAAAGAGTTTGAAAACATTTCTGGTGGTAGATGCCAATTGTGTTTGGAAAAAATTCCAGACACTGCTACGCCATGTGGCCATTTGTTTTGCTGGTCTTGTTTGGCTGAATGGCTACGAGCCAGAAACCGATGTCCACTTTGCAGAGAAACTGTGTCCCCTACAAGGATCATTCCATTAATGAATTTGTAAAGGAGAAAAAAAAATCTTTGTATAAATAATAAGGCCTGTTTAACAAATCAGCAAAAATGTGTACATATGTAAATAATTTTATATTTTATTAATTAGGCAAAGATAAATTAAATAATTAAATTTTGTTACAAACTTTGTACTGCACAAGAAGCACAAAAAGCTTCTCAGTTTACATGATTAGGAAAAACAAGTATAACGTAATACAATACTTCAAAAAACATAATAAATAATTACACTTTTCCTCTGAATAATAGTTTTGATACCATTCTAAAAACGTTTACTAGCACTTAATAAATATCAATATCCAGTAATTACGTTGTATGTACAAAAATATTAAGTTTTATTGTATTTGCGTACGTACGGCACACTGCTCATGCACCAGAGTTTGTTAATTGCTTTTTTTTTGTTTTCTGAACTTTTCAATAAACAATATTGTACAACAATTTTTTTTGGTTAGTCTTTAATTTACATAAAATTTTTTTAGAAAAACTTCATGAATACAACTGATATTTTTTCTGATTGTGGACTTGACTCGTAACTTGTTAAAAGTTGAAGCATACTTCGTTCATTTTACATTTAAATGTTTCAACTTATCAACTAAAGTATACTTTTAAAATGAACACTTTTATAAAAGTTAATTCTCTCATGATTTCTTATAATAAAGCGAAACAAAATACTCCCAAATTTTTAGGAATATTCTCAATACAACTATATAAAAATAACGAGCGTTTTATATGTACAATAAAATCAACACTAATACCTCAAAACAGTTAACCCTTCCTTAGCATATAAATACTCTCGAATAAATAGAAAAAAAAATAGTTTCCACGATTTTACAGATTTATAAAGCACACCATCAAGAAAAATTCTGAACAGCGAAAAATGTATAGGTAAAAATTAAAAAAAAAAAAAAGTCAATTTTCCATGGATACCTTAGATGAAGGTTTTTGAATTTAAAAGAAAAAAAAGAGTAAAATTTGCTCTTACAAACGTATACGAGTGTATTTCGAAACATGTGCGCGTTAGCCGCTTTTCCAAGCAAATTTCACTCTCATCTAATTTTCCATAGGCCACGAAACGTTGTAATAATAAGTACTCATCTTCAGTATGATTATTCGTACATTCGTTCGTTCAAAGTTACAAATTTAGCGAACGCAATGTTATTGGCAAAAAAAAGTACTTTTCGCATAGAGTCTAAATTCCCTACCCACGATTTTCAACAATTATTCAAATTCCTCTAATGGATAAGAGTCATGCCGATAACTTGACTGTAGGCACTCATAGCTATCTGCCGCACTTTCAGCAGTCTCTCTCTTCTGTTTGGCTTTCTGCGTGCAAAGAAAAAAAAAAAATCGCTTGTTACTCGTTGAGTAATCATTATTACTATTGATTGTTTGATGAATTCACACAACTTACAAATTCTCCTCGGTGAGAGTATCGGTAGAGAGCCGGGAAGTACAGTTCTGGCTCTTGATCGAATTGGTGACGCTGCCCGTCGATGTCACGTAACAAAACGAGCTGTCGGACGAGCCCGTCGACACGGAACGTGCGCGCAGTGGCAGACCGTTGTCGCGAGATCCTGGCACCGGCACCGGTGACGTTCGTTTTGTCGCTACGTACTTATTCATGAGCGAGATGGGCGGTGACCGAGGCGAGCCGTTGTTCGTCACCAGATCGCGATTTGGCGAGGAAGGCATCACGTTACTGAAAAGCACGTTTCATTATTATTTTCAACATAAAACTTTGGATCGTCGTTTTTGTCAGATCACCGAATGAAAATACGGGCCTTACCCATTGATCAATTCGTCCTCTTGTGATTCGAGGTGGAATATTTGACCCGGTGGCAAAATGTCATGGCAGTGCCTGCTACCGTTCTGACTGAACACGCTCTTATTCGAGCCGACAGACAAATTGGTGGCGATATCGCCGGCATCGATAACATCGAACGACTCGTCAATCACGTGGACGCTGTATTCGTTGTCACATATGTGCTTGAGGAACGAGAAGCAGAAGTAAAAAATCTCTTCGTTCTTGGACAATCGGTCTATCAGGTTGTGACCAAAAAGGTACCAGTCGTAGGCTATCGTGAAGTACAGTATTTGGTGCGCGGTCAGCGATCGGTGAGCAACTCCGTCGGCCCATAAGCTCAGTCGTAGTAAAGATATGAACAACGGTGTGCGATCCCAGCCTACACAGAATCAACATGATTTAATGGGGATTTTTTTTACGTCAATCCAGAAACAATATTAGAACTTACCTGATATACAGTGAATGAGCAGACTGCCCGTGTCTTCAGTCAAGTACTTTAACAGCAGCTGTATGTAATTTTGCGTTATGGTGTTGAGATCCCATTTCCTGTAGTCGTCCCACTTGATCTGTAGCTTTGCGGCTATATCACCGTTCATTTTGTCGGCCACACTGATTTCGGCGTCGACAAAGTGCTGGTTCCAATCGTAAAACAAGTCATCAGCCACGTAGTTGTTTCTACGTAATTTTTTAAAGAACTCACAACCCGGATATGGTTGCGACAAGATCGTGAAATCAAAATATCGGTTCTCTTTGTCAATTTTTTCAGACGACGTGATACTAAAACAAGTTATGGAGGATTATTCACGTCCTTGAATAAAAACCATTAAATACTTACTAGATTCCAAACTTTTGTTTTTTATTCTCGACCATTAAATCGCTGATGACCTCGACACCAAGGTACTTGAGCAGATCAATGTCGTCTCTTCTGGCACTGGAAACGTAACTCAAAAAAGTCCAATTTTTCTCCATCTTTTCCTGCTCTTCCACGTCCAACTCTTTGACGTCTTTATCGCTCCAAACTTTGTTGTCAAAATAAATGTACTTTAATCCTAGCCTAGTGTAAACCTCAGCAGCACCGGACAATGTGGCAGAACGACAGATGTGTCGGTTTTTGTAGAGAAGAACAGGCACTGGAAATCTTTCTCGGCATCTCGCGACGCTCGCTTTTATGACTTTTTGCTGCAAAAATAATGACATGATGTTTCCTGGTAAAGATTTTTTTTTTTTTTTTTAAATATCTTTATTTACCTTGAATTTTGAAAAATCACATTTGCTTTCATTAGGAAACATCATGTACTCGCCCGAGAATAGATCCTTTTCTTTTTTAAAGCATATGAGTTGACGAGGGTACTGAGGACACAGTTCACCAGTATCATTGTAGACTATTTCACATTCGTAGTCACGTTTTGCAAGTTCAATACATTTTTTCATGATTGCTGTGTCCTATTGAAATGAAAAACAATCAAAACCATGTTTGGCATGTAGAATAAAGGAAACTAAAAGAAAAAACAAATTTTGCACACATACCATTGCGTTTGTAGATTTAGCTTCATAATTTTTTTGAGAAAAATGCGCAATAAGGTTTTTAATGTCCTCATCATTAATATCCCCCATATTTAAAGTAAAAATGTTTTCGTCAACTGATCACAAAACTTTAAATACAAATACACCAGGATTTTGAAAAGATCTTCAAGCATATACACGTGACTGACAATTTGTTTTCAAACTATGATTCAGCACTAAATCTAATTCTCTACAATGCATTTTCCAAATGTAGGAATTTACTAGAACACTGAAAGTAAAATTGGAAACAAAATTTAATAAATATCTGTCTACTGCATCAGTGCAAACATTGTGTTGATATTTTAAAAGCAAAATTTTGTTTTGAAATTCGCATATTTAACTTGGTAGTTAGCACTAGTTAACTTGATAAGATAAAAAAATTAATTACGAGTGTTTTTGATCAACAAGTTCATACAAATTATACTTATATGTACCAAAAACGTTATCAGTTTGAGTTATCTTATCAGCACAACAATCTAGTACAATTAAGTATAAGATTGATTACCGTTGATTAATCTCTTGTGATTCCTTGCTCATAGAATCTTTAAGGATCACTCGAGATTTCGATCACATAAGAGTAAAAAACTTGAAAAATCTAAAGTTCATCAACTGCTAATTAATTTTCATTTTAGCTTAAAACTAAAAATGAAAAAAAAAAAAAAAAAAAACGTGATAACTAATTACCTGTATATCACACAAGTCTAAAAGTTTCTTTAGAAATAAAGCACATACTGTCGAACACAATAACAACAAGAGGACGAGGAACAAAGTTCTATGTTAAAAAATAAAAAGAGCCACTTAGGTCAACCAGTGGATCCTGTTTAAAATCAAGCACAAATCCAACTTCAGCCTCTGATCGTCGTTCCTCAGATTCAACTTTGTCAAACGTTTTTTAACCAGCATACTGTCAAATTCTGCATTCCTTGAGCCGTTCTTTTTCAGACCAGCTACGCCTGCCAATGCCATTATTCCGATCAGCCTTTGCGACCGCTCTCTGGTATCAATTACCATCAATGTGCTGATGCCTCAAAACATGTTTTTGAACCTTTGGAAAAAAAAATACACACACAAACACAAAACAATTTTAGTCACAAGTGTCTCTGATTCAATAGTATGATACCGAAGAGTGAGAGTTTGAAGAAAAATCACTTACTCAGTCTGCATATAGGCACAAAGGAACAAAAGGAGTTGACTTTTACGGGCCCAGGGATAGAGATGCAAGAGAGAGACTGCCGAGACACGGTACGCGTGACGTGCACGGCGCAATTAACTTGGAGCTGTTCCAACTGTCTGTGCACTACGTGTCTGAGGCCTCGACTCTCTCCTTTCCTTGGAGAGTATTTTTTTTTAAATAGACAGCAGCAACTCTCTGTTTTCTCTCACTCTCTCTCTCTTCAAAGATGCAAGAACGAGTAGAACCGCGTGGTCAGCATGGCACCCCCTTTTTTGCACACAACACTGCACATGGACACGTAATATTTTCCCGTCTCATTTTCTCCAGCTCCTGAAATAATTTTCGCAGCAAACGTAAAAATTTACACGCCAAGCAAGAATCGCTATATATATACGCGATGGAAGATATGTTGTGATGTGCGTACTTAGCAGAAAGCTAAGCAGAAGTCATTTCGTACCTCTCTCGTCGCGTGTGCAAGGATGACGTCGTCGTTGTTCCTAACCTCTTCGTCGTAGTAGTACGATGATGCCGCCGCGCGAGAAGAGCCACGCCACGCCACGCACACGCCGTCCACCACCTCCAATCCAACTCCTCCGCGCAAGCTTACCCGCACGTAAATGTATGTCTATAGGTATACGTGTCAAGTCGCGCCCCTTCGACTCCTTTCCCAAAGATATATGTCAAAAGAGGAATGGAAGCAACGCACGTGCCTCCCACGCCTATTTTTTTGACGCGTTCTTTCGTTGTGTATTAAGTATTTTTCTTATCACAAGAAAAAACAAGCAGTCGTCATGGTCTCCGTTTGTTATCTCGGTTCCATCTCTAAAATTGACTTGAAACGTCAACAGTGAGTAATTATATATATACACTACTGACACTTTTACGCCGTGACCACCGTCACCTGCACCCATTCATTCATTCGGCATGTGTGACTTGTACCTATATGCGTGTGAGCTGTTATATATAATACGTCATCCGGTCATACGTCAAGTTTAAAGGGATTGCACAGAACTACGAAAACATATAGGTATACCGGGCCGTGCGTTTTTCGTTCATTCTCTGCACTGCGCCAAAGGTAAGTAAGGTACGTTATTTTTACTTATTACAATTGTGATCTCCATTTGCATCTATATAATAAGTCGAGGAGGTCGTTTTTTTTCCAAACTTTATGGAAAGTACATGAATATATTGCTGATTGATGTCTGTAGATGTCTGTTCATATAGATGTTTATAAATAAATTTGTAGGAAAACCTATTTGTCTCATAACAAAAGGGAACTTATTATTAAACAACTATTTGGAAAAATTCAATAAAAATCTAAAAGATGGTTATTTTTTTTAACTTTTGTTTCCTCAAATAGTTTCAAAAATCAAGTTTTTAAACAAAATCCATCCCATTAGCCTTGCGAAAAACAAGATAGAAAACAAAACCAACAGTATAAATATACAGTTATATTCAGGCTTATGTATACATTTAAATTTCATGTATACAGGATTCGTTTTCACGCTTAGCAGACTGATTTTAAATTATTATTAATCGTATTTTTATGTACAATTGGATATATATTTTATTAGATAGAAATAAAGCTACTTATACAATTTTTCACCCAAAACTAAGAAACTTACGTCGCACATGTCAACGAATAATTTAATACATTGGTAATAATACTTTTAATATTTAAGTATACATGTACGTTTGTTGATTAACAATGCGTTTGTACAAAAATACTTCAAAAAATAAATCAAAAGTGACAGATTGCCGCTTTTTCTTGCACACTTATTGTGTTCTCTCGATTAATCCTCAATTTAGCGCTCGTGAAACCCTACAATTGTCTAATTTAATTTTATACTCACCGCGTTTTAGTTGTTACATCAATTTGTAGTTTGTCTACATAATACTCGGGTATACTGTTATCGTACTCTATACCTACATATACTATACATCACCATTAACAACACATATATACACAAAACAAGTTTTTACAATCGTGACTGTAATATTTCATACGCCAAAGTTTATATCAAAACCATTCGTTTTCTTCCACGTGTCTTGAGGATTGTTGGCAAATTTATTTTACTTTGTCCCTAAATTCTCCGAGCCAAAATAATCCTTCCTTCACATGGTAATCGAAATAATATTTTTTTAAAAAGTCTCGAAGAAAAAGCATGTCACACCCCCTTATTTTCAACATCACGAATATATATATATATATATATATATATATATATTGCCTACTAACAGAAAAACTATAAGAAGACGTAAGAAAACAGATGACGGCGATGACCTTCATCAGGGAATCTTGTGAAAAGCCGGTGGTTTTCCATAGACCTTCACCTCGTAGTGAAAATCGGCGTGTCTCAAAACCGTGTAGGTCAAAGTGACGTAAGTCTGTCCGGGTCCACCTGCGACGATTGCCGCGTAAGCGCCACCTCCGCTGGCTATCACGTCCTTTACAGCCACCATAGTGATTACTTGGTAATTCTAAAATGAACAATGAAATTACTTGGTTGTATCATGAAAAAAATAAAAAATAAAAATATAAGTTAGTATGTATTATTATCCTAAAGTCACATATACTTTTCAAGAGAATATCATCTCGGTGAATAACTGACAAGTGGATGATAACCGATGGTAAAAAAAAAATTCATACAATCCAGATTTGGAACTGAGATTGAAACTTTTTTCATTTATTACTTTTTTTTTTTTAAATTAATTATTTAACTTGTAGTTTTTCATGCATATAATTTTTTATCAATCACTACAATGTTTTCGAGTAACAGATGATAATTTTTATAAACTTACAACTGATTGTTCCTAAATAACGAGATTAAATGATTTTTTGTTTTTGTTTTTGTTTTTGTTTAAATACAAAATAACGTTGCGGCCAAAGGTATACATTATTCAATGATAAAATGTACGAAAAAAAAAAAAAAAAAAAAAAAATGTCACCGACGTCACCGACGTAAGTCCTGCTGAAGCTGAGGGAGTAATCCGGCGAGCCTCGGCCCTTCTCCTCCGCGTGCTCGACGAGGTTCTCCGCCGGATGCCTGTGGCCCACTTCGAAGCTGGTCCTCATCCTCCCGCAATCCACCGCCACCAGCAGCGCCGACAACTGGACCAACGTCTTCATCCACCCGTACATATTTTTATCGCCTCGAGCTAAACAAACAAAACCGATTTTATCTCTATATTCCGCGCTATGTATATACTCTTCGGAGCGCCCCGTACGACAGTTAGAGGCCAAATAAAAAAGCTCCTCCGATGGGCTCAAATCGCCCCCGGCACATCACACGAATCATCATCATCATCATCACTTGTCCAACCGAGTACGTCCTCGTGTGACAAGCAAAGTCAATTTTCATCCGTGCCGTGAGTGGCCGTGTTATAAATAAGTATACACGCGGAGCTCGGGCTTGTTCTCTCTCTCTCTCTCTCGAGGGGTCGGTAGGTTATCGGAAGAATTACGTACGTAACGCACGTGTTACCAAATCACACGGGGCCCCCGCCACTTGTCTCATTCCCCGAGCAATTAGACCTCCCGAGCTGCACTTCATTCCATCGTAGGTCTCTCTCCCGACGTAAGTGTATATTACGTGGAGTGTTATATACCGATCAACAATACACCAGAGAGCAAAGTAACATATATAATTCTCTCGATTTCAGATAGAGGCTGAAGATGCATCCGACCGGTTCGTCGTGGCTCGTCGTCTTCTGGACCGTCCTCTCGCACTTTGGACTCCAGGCCAGACTCGTGCCCGAGTTCTCGAGCTTCGTCAAGGAGCAGACGTACCTGGACCGACGAGTGATCCTCAGCTTGGCGACGGACGTCGTCACGGACCACGGCAGTTTTCTCTACGCGGTCTGCGACTCCCAGGAGACGATCTTCAAGGACACCAGGTGCAACGTGACCGTAGAGACGCCGGCCTTCGCGAACGCCAGTTACCGGGACACGTGTCCGGTGAGCGTACGAGCCGAGGACCCGGAGCGCGAGTCGCTGACCGAACTGTCGCTCCATCCATTCACGGAGGACAAGGTCCTCCTAACCTGGAATGTCAAGGATCTCGACTGGCGCACCAAGAGCGTCCAGGTGCGCGTTCTCCATCAGGCGTCCGGGTGCAAGTCGCACGACGCTGCCGTCCTGCAGGCGGATAAGTTGGTGGCCGTTATCCCGTACGAGAACACCTTCGACCTCGTTGTTCGGGCCCTCGACGTGTCCATGTGCGGCTCGGATTACTGCAAGCTCACCCTCAACGCCGAAGGGAAGAGGATCAACGGCCCGTCGCCCTTTCTCTCGAGTGTGAGCAATAATAACAAGCGGGCGCGCGTATCGGCCGTCCTACTAGCGGCCCTGCGTTCGCCGATGAAGGGCTTCTTCGTCCTGGCGTTCGTGAGTAACGAAATGGACAAGCTGCGCATACTCCGCGTGTCCACGGACGGCAAGGGTACCGAGGTCGCCCAGACGGGCAGCTCGATCGGTGTCAAAGGGTCGAGTGCCCACGACCTGCTGAGCGTCTGCTGGACCGCAGGGAACACGAACGTCACCTGCCGGCAGTACGACGCGAAGATGGTCCCGAGGTTCGACGCTGTTCTCGAGTTTCCGGACGAGCCCGGGGCGAGGCGATGGTTGAGGCCCCACAATCTGCAGGACGGTGGGCTACTGTTGCTCACCGGGGTGCCCGGGGGAAAGGACAACAGAAGGTTCGAGAGCTTCAGCGTCGTCAAGATCGGGGCGGCCGGTCAGCGGGAGCGCCCCCTGGAAGTGGACGGTTTGGACTTTGAGTGCCTCCGCGCGGAAGACTTGCTGGTCAACGTCGCCGAGGAGGACAACGACGAGTTTTGCTTTCACTTTGTCTGCGAGAGGGCCGACTTTGACCGCAACAAGGGCATCAGGAGTACCCTCAAGTTCGCCACCAAGTGCCTGCCCAGGCGACACGTGGCTCCGCTAAAACACCGGCCTTCTTTGCTCAACTAAGAATGCTGTTTTTTTTTTTTTTTTTTCTCTCTCCTTGGATAAGTTCATATAGGTGTTGTATAATATATAATTTGTAAACCGAGTGTTGAATAAAACATTGACGAAACCAAGCGTGAGCTAAAAGTGTTTGCTTTAATCGGGAGAGATGATAACGTCCGTTACTAGACTTGGCGCAGCTTCGAGAGATAAAAACAAACAAAACAAAAAAAAACAAAAAAAAGTATTCCTCTGCCCCACATTCAACGCTGTCTCGCTCTTTCATCAAAACAGATAATCCAGTCTCGCTCGTTTCTCAGCAAACACATCTCCTCGATTCCTAAGTCATTTGGCTTCCATCGCCATACCAACAATCATGTCGGCGATGAAAATCACAACAACTGTCCTGAGCTTGCTCACCCTCTCCCTCGCGACGGAGGCACCATCCCAGCCGTTCATCGTCGGCGCCCAGCACTCGTCCCACTTCACGACCTACGAAATCGTCCTCGGCTACCGGCCCATGGATAACTCATCCAGGGTGGTCTACGGCTCGTGCAACAATTACCACGGCAAACGGAACCTCGAGTGCTCCATTTACTTGGTTTCACAACTTGTGGCCGGCGACAAGATTGAATTCCACGAGCAGCGTTGCAAAGTGAAGCACCAAGCCGAAGATGGCAAGGTCATCGGAGAGGACTTGGAGCTCGGGTTCCTGAGCGACGATCGCGTGCTGTCCACGTGGCTGGAAGTCGGTGGCAAGGAGTCGAACGCCGTCCTTCGCGTGACCAACATGCGGGACTGCGAATTCGAGGAAACGAGGATACCCTCCTACGGTGTAGGGTTGCCGCTCCGTGTCGCTTACAACAACACCTTCGACGTCTTCTTTCGCAACGCCAGCGCGTGTGGCGGAATGATGTGCGGCCAGACCCACGACACCCGGGCCCAGCTGATAAACGGGCCCGTCGCCTCTTACCTGCCTGCCGAGTTTTTCCGGGAGAACACGTACGTGTGCCCCGTCCGGCCGGCATCCTCGGCTCTGGGCCATTTTTTGCTCTCTTCCAAGCTAAGGCTGGTCAGCTCCAGCTACGGCCGGGTCACGGAGCTCATGGACTACCCGGCCGGCGTCGTCAGTCTGGCATTTTCGTGCGACCATGGGTTCCTAGGTACACCGAGTGATTTTTCTTTTTTCCTCCACGGTATGTACATATACAACAGCGATGTAACGGAGTTGTGCGCATGTTCACAGGTTTCTGCTGGATCGACCATTTGGACGAGATGTACGTGAATTGCCGGCAGTTCGACTCGCGGGGCGTGCTGGAGCTGAGCATCAGAATCATGCTGGAGTACAGGGGAGGCCAGTGGATGGCGATGCGGAATCTGCCCGGAGGTGGGCTGTTGCTGCTGACGAGCGAGTGCAACGCCGAGAACTGGTGCGAGCAGAACGTCGACAAGGTGTCCTTTTACGCCTACAGGGTTCACAGGGACAAAAGGGTCGACCTGTTGCGACAGATTAAAGAGGTGCCTTGCACCGGGGACGGACTCAAGACGGACATCCAGGAAAAGCTCAACGGGACCGTTTGCATCACGTTTGTCTGCCGCGGCAAGACCTACGCGCCGTACACCAATGTGCACGTGGATTTGTACGTCAAAGTGGTGTCCAGGTGTATCGCCTGGAAGAACATGTGAGCTGGAGCTGGTCGAGGGAGTTTTGCAGCGTGTATTGGATTGACATTAATTATAAATGGTTGTTAATTATTAATAACTGTACGGACAAAGATATACTTGACGCAGTGGCTGTTGAAAAATCAGTCATCACTATCCAAGCTCTTCTCAGATCCACATGTAAAATTCTCCGAGACACACGTGTGCGAGATAAGACGCGTGTATTTTTAATTTCGATGCCGGATAAAAAGAAGAAGAAGAAGAAGAAGAAAGAAAAAAAAAAGAATAAAGTCGTATCTATTAATATTAAAGTATGTGATGTATGATTTGAAAACAAAAAGTTGTGCCAAAAGAGATGCATGAAAAAAAAAGAATGAAATTAAATTCGGTGGCCAAACACGTTTTCGTCCGACCAAACACGATTCGACGATCGAGGGAACAACTGCGCACCCAATCAGGCAAATGGCGTTACTAGCTCGAGTGACGATAACAATCGCGCTTCTACACTCGATGACACCGACGGTGAAACCCCGTGGCATCGACACCTACCACGAGGAATGGACTTTTCAAAAGAAAGAAATCATCCTCAGCCGAGATCTGTCGACCCGGGAGTCCAACAGCGCGGGCGAAAACAGCTTTCTGTACGCCCTATGCGAGGACGGGCACTGGAAGCCGACCAAGACCTGCAACGTCGTGGTCGAGCACTACACCCCGGAGCACATCACTTACAGGAGCACCTGCAGGTTGAATCTGGCCACTGGCAAGGAAAGCCGTATGATCGGGAGGAACTTCATTTTGACGCACCTGGGAAACACGAATAGGGCACTTTTCGCATGGCTGGATCGAGAGAGGACCAATTGGGCGGCTCACGAGGTTTACCTCTGCGTTCGCGTGGTCGACTGGTCCAGTTGTAAATCCACCGATGTCAAAATTCCGATAGACCCGCAAAACGACCTGGTCGACGAGATCGTCTTCAACAACGTTTTGGCCCGCGACGATACCTTCGAGGTGTTTTTCAACGGCAAAGAGCTCTGCCGCACCGGCCGGTGCAAAATGACGTTCAACGCCGACGGCCAGCGTATAGGCCAGCCCGAATCTTTCTTGCCCAAAGAGGAGCTGACGACACCTCTGTCTATGGTCCTACCTGTAAGCAACAGCACAGCATTCAAGGGGTACTTTGTCATCGAGTGGACGTCGAAAACACTGGCCGTTAAGCTCGTGGGTGCAGACGGCAGTGCAAAGGAAGCCACGAGGGTCTTGTTGGAGGGTTACACGAATTTCGGCGTGTCCAGTGGGTTCGAGGTTTTTGGGGTGTGCTGGTTGCCCATGCACGGCGATGCCACGGTCAAGTGCGCTCAAATAGACTCGGGTGGCGAGGTGATACTGAACGTGACCTTGAACTTTGGTTACAGGGTGATGCTCGTGAGGATGCACAATTTGGTTGGCGGTGGGTTTTTGCTGCTGCAACTGGGGTGCACCGATGATTTTTGCGTTGGTTACAAAACGTTTTTCGTGAGCAGGATACGCGGTAATGGTCGCCATGATAATCGGCCACTCGAGATCAGCGGGATCGATTTGGACGTTTCGGTTTTGGACAGGTACAGGGTCAACCTGTTCGAGAGGGCTGGTGACGAGCTTTGCGTGAGTTTCGCTGGACCGGCTACCCTCAGCGAGTTTGACATCATCCAACAAAAGCCCAGGATGACTTACGTAAGCAAGTGTTTCGATAAAAAATACGTTATCGGCTAGTGAAAGTGTCCCATCGGTGAAAAAATAAAAGCTTTTTTAAAACTGACACATGCAGCGCTCCCGACGCTTTGGCTCGGCTCTATACCATTTTGGGTGGTTAATAAGCTATCAAAAAATTTTTAAGGAGGATTTTCATTTAAGATGACGAAAAATAAATACACTACAGCACGTATTTTTTCAAAAAGTGTAATTATTTGATCCAACGACTGTTTTTGGGAATTTATTGTTTTGTAAAAATATTTTAAATACTTACTTCTTCACAATCATATAGTTTAAGTTTGCACTTATGAGCTCATTCGGCAAAAATTCTTTCAATAAATGCAAAAGTAGGTACAGCAGGAATCGATAGCAAATAAGAAATAAAGTTTTGTCCAAGTATGGTGAAAAATGACTAGTTTCTTTTAAAAATGTGCTGTCACTTTTGTTACATGTAACACTTTCTTTTAACTTGTCAAAAAACTTAGGTGGTAATTCTCATTTCTGAATAAAGATCATATCAACAACGTTTCCAAGTAACCTCTGTGAGAACAACCCTATAGCGTCTCCACAGTCCCACTCGTATTACCTATACTGTAACAGAGCGAGATTTGATTGGGAAACAAAGAATCTCGCATTATCCAATGCGCATGGCAACCCTGGCATTTGTTTGCAAAAAGTGCCCCTATAGGTCAGGTGGATTGTTCTCTGTTCGATTACAAGGGATGGGAGAAGATTGTAGGGGTCTCGGTGCTCTTGGAATTTCCAGTGGACGAGCCGTTGCTCGAGATGAGGAATACAATTTGATTTTTGGCTTTTGTTGGTGTGTACAATACGGAGCCTTACTTTGAAGGTGGAAATTTCGAGGATCCGAGTTTTTCGAGAGGAAAGGATTTAATTGTAATTACATCGCGTGCAATTATCCAGCGTCTATTGAATAAAATACAACTTGGAGTTTATGAGTACGTGAGAATGACTCTATTCATTTACTCCATATTGTTTTACGTTTTTGCATTAAAAATAAACTCGTTGATTAAAAAAAATGTATACATCCTTAATAGCATTGTTTATTTTTTTAAATTATATTTAAAAAATTAAGTCTATTTGTACAAAAAAAAAAACCATAACGACATTGTTCTACAACGTAAAAATAAAAATAAATGGGCCGCTGGAATCACAGACTTGAATTTGGACACAACGAATACGAAAATAATAAAAAAATCCGAGCTATTTCCTTGAGTAAATAGCTCAAGAGGTTGTATACAGATAAGCAGCTTGATGAGATAAGTTCTTTTAACGTTCGATTTTGCCCACACCGAAAGCACGTGGAGTTTTTTTCTTCAACCCGCTCTTTCATCACTATACACAGTCTTTGGGAAACTTTGTTGCTTATATACGTACATCTCACGAGGGACGGATTATCTATTATGTCACACCCAAAGGCCTAAAAGTGTGTGCGTATAAATGGTCTGTGTCATTCTTCCGCGGACAGACGCACAAGTGCAGCGTTAGCCTTCGTACTTTTTTGACGGCGTGTCAACGTCCAACAATACATTACCAATAATGTCATCGGCCAAAGTGGTGGTTGCGATTCTCGCGCTCTCGGTGATCCAAGGGTCGACGGAGGCGAAACAAGTGCTGAATTTTCTCAAGCGCATTTCGCACGTGGGCCACGATTTCGTGATTAATCGAAAAATTGGTGAAAACGTGACACTTTCGTACGGCACGTGCCAACGCTCCGGCCACCACGACGATTCGACCAACAGAACGTGCGAATTGACCCTCGAGACTTTGAACTCATCTGGAACAGATTGGACGAAAACGTGCGCCGTTCCACTATCACCCGCAGATACGATAAACGATGGCAGCAAATACAATCTGTATCAAGTCGGGGATGATAGCGTCGTCTTCGTCTGGAAGCAGTCGGAGGTCAAAGAAGGATGGCACAGGCGACCTAAAAGCTTATCCCAATACATTGAGTTTCACGAGGAACAACTGAAAGTCAGCGTGGTAAGGATGTCGGATTGCGACATCAGAGAGGTGGGCGTCAACGTGGAGGGCAGAGACGAGTATGCTCACGGTTACGTTGACTTTGATAGTACAGGTCATGATATCAGTAGCGTCAGCCTCTTGTCCCACGATAATGGATCTTTTGTCCTGTTCTTTCGCAACAAGGAAGTTTGCGGCGAGGACAAGAGATGCAGTTTGGCGTACGACTCGAAGCTCCAAACTTTCAACGTTAAACACGGTAAGAAACAAATTTTTCCATCTACCTACGTTATTGGTACATTGGTTATATTTATAGGTGAATTTGTAATTCTTAAGGAAGAAAAATATGGTTTCCTCAGGTATATCCCTACCAGTGAACTACGAGACTTCAATGAAGATGTTCCCCGTTAGGTCGAACCAGGATTCCAAAGTCAAAGCTTACCTCGTCTCGTCTTTTTTTCTCAAAGACGGCGCCATGACACTTATGAGTCCTGAAGGTGAAGTTTTGTACGACCATCCGTACTCCCACTCGATAACTGAGACCGAAACAAGGATAACGTTTCTCGCGGTATCCGTTGCGCATGGAAACTTTGGCTTGTGCCAGTTGAGAATGTTCAAATCCACATTGGAGTGTTCTATGTTCGATTACGCGGGAAACGCGAAAATCGGGGTAACGATACCCTTCGAACTGGTAAATGTCGCTGCGGTGAAGATGAGAAACGCAGCTGACGATGGTTTTTGGCTGTTGTTAATACACAGGGAGAACGGTACAACGTCTGAGTTTGAAACGACCATTTTAAGGATCAACTCGGATGGCAAAGTCGGTGAAATTCGAAAAGAAAAGAACCGCGTCTGCTCGGATCGGAAAGCTACGTTTGATTTGGACCTTTTTGAAAAGAAAGATTACGACATTTGTTACTATTTCACGTGCGCTTGGTCGAAATCCAACAACAAACAAAACGACGAGTATAATTTGCAGTTACGAAGCGAGTGCTTTGTTGATGGTAACAATTCGAAGTAAGATTATCTGTACATACTTTTTTTTAGCTTAGTCGTTTTTTTCTTACTACTTCAATTTTTCATATAATTGCAAGAAAGTTCAATTTCTCAATTGGAAGTAAAGCCCGCTGAAAAAAAAATGGTCAATCCAAATAAACTTTCATTTGAGTACAAAGATATTTATTGTATTCAAATAAAAATTTTTTTATTCATATTGAAATAAACGCTTTTTTTCAGTGTTGTTAGTAAGTTTGAATATGTTGAAAGTATTATGTCACATTAAGGGTACCTTTAATTTGGTAAATAAAATAAATAGTCAAGAGATAAATGAAAACAATACTTGCTCGTTTCGATGATTTGTTGTTTATTTGATAAATTTTATAAGTTTTACTTACAACTATAAATTAAATTTCTTACGTTAACTGTGGGAGAATAAATATTGTAAAAACATATATATTAATATATAAATTCAAGAAAATATTTCTTGTAGAATTAAAAGCACAAATTCAATTTCATTTAAGCAAAAGACCAAACTGGTCTTTGGTTGTGCTCTTGAAGTTATGCTATTACTTCATACTTATAATGTTAACACAAAGGTGGTGTGATGTTGTCAATCATAAAAAAATTCATAAAAAAACATTTAGATAAAAAAAAATATTTCAAATATGTCATTCTTTTGTACACTAATGATACTTTATGATTGTAAACTATTAAATCATCGATTAAAAATATTTATTTACATACGCAGTAACATTATTGAAAATCGATTAAGACTACTTTTTGAAATGTTGCATTGATCGTTACAAAATAAAAAAAAAACTTTATCCAATAGCAGTTTATATGGATCCTGTCCCCTTAACTACATTCATACAGATAAAGCGCAAAATGGTACGTTTAGGTAAGGTGGAGGAATTTTTTATCATGTGTAGCACAATCCTTTTACAAATTTCAAATCACTTTAAAGTACAATTTGCTAAAAAAAAAAAGTTAATACACTATTTTTATTAGAAACATTTTTTTCCACGAGTCTGTTAGACACATTACAAACCCGTTTTAATGCTGTATCCAGTAAAAAATTGTGCAATATTTTGCAAAGAATAAAGTGTAATTTTAAGTATTACGCAAAACTTTTTCTGATACGTTTTTATGTGTGGTAACAAGTATAGTAATCCAAATAACACTTCTAGCACAAACAAAAATCTTTACACACTTCTACGAAAAATTGCATGTCAAATTATTTAAATAAACGAATGGAGGAAACAATGAAGCAATGATGAAACAGTAATTTAGTTTTTTTCTGACCAAATAAATATAGTTCGTACACTGAAACATTCTTGCCGAGCAAACGCAATTTACTTTCCACGCGTGTGAGTCAGCATATGCTTCGTAAGATTACTAGAAACGGAAAAACTTTTTTCACACACCGAGCACTTGTAGGGCTTCACCCCCATGTGGATCCTCATGTGCTTTATAAGATTGCTCCTGCCAACGAATGACCTTAGGCAAATGGCACACTCGCCATAAGGTATGCCCGTGTGTACGCGCATGTGCCTCGTGAGGGTACTTTTTAGTCTAAAAGATTTCGGACAATCCGAGCACTGGAAGGGCTTCTCCCCAGAGTGGGTCGTCATGTGCGTCCTAAGACATCTTTGGCTACTAAATGGCTTGTCGCATACGAAGCACTGACAAAGGGCCGCATCGGCGCAGTGGAAGCGCATGTGAGTCTTGAGATGAAACTTGCGACCAAATGACTTCGAACAATCGGAGCACTTGTAGGGCTTCTCCTTCGCGTGAGTCTTCTTGTGCCTCCTCAAATTGCTCGGGTCGAAAAATGTCTCTCCACAGATGTCACAGCGACCATAAGGCAAGCCCGTGTGGACGCCCACGTGAATTTCGAGCTGGATCTTCTGTCTGAAAGACTCCGGACAATCCGAGCACTTGTAGGGCTTCTCCCCCGTGTGGACCCTCATGTGCCTCTTTAGGTTGCTGGGATTGACAAATGACTTTTGGCACACGGAACAGTGGCTGTAAATTTGTTCGGTGTGAACGCGCACGTGTCTTTTGAGGTGGAACTTACACCCGAAGGTTCTCGAACACTCCGAACACTGGAAGGATTTCTCCCCCCCGTGGGTACGCACGTGTGTTTTGAGGCCGCCGGAGGTGGTGTAGCTTTTTTGGCACACCGAGCACCTGTAGGGCTTCTCCCCAGTGTGGGTCCTCATGTGTTTCTTGAGATTGCTCGTGTCGGCGAATTGCTTTCGGCAGATGGTGCAGTGGCTACGTGGTATGCCGGTATGTATGCGCATGTGGGTCGTTAGGGTGCACTTTTGCCTGAACTTCAGGGGGCACAGCGAGCACTCGTAGGGCTTCTCCCCAGTGTGGATTCGCATGTGGTTAACGAGGTTGTTCTTTTTGCCGAACCTCGTATCACAGACCGTGCACGCAAAGGGCTTTTCGTCCGAGTGGGTGACCATCGTGTGGTTCTTGAGATTTTCCTTTTTACCAAAAGCTCGTGGGCACATCGAACAACGGAAGGGCTTCTCCCCCGTGTGGGTCAGTACGTGGCTTTTGAGATAAGCTAGACGAGCAAATTTTTGCGAGCACAGCATGCACTCGAAGGTCTTTTCCCTCATGTGGGTGCTCGTGTGCTTCTTTAGCATGCTCTTGCTGACAAAAGCTTTCCAACACACCGAACAATAGAAGGGATTGTTGTCCGAGTGGCTAAGTTGGTGCCTCGTGAAAATTGCGAGGCTGATGAAAAAGTCTCCACACACATCGCAGAGAATTGAACTTCCTTCGGTGCTGTTCTCGTGGTTTGAATCTTGTTTGTCGTCCTCAAACATGTTGGTTAATTTAACGGACGAGCAGACGTATTTACCTTCGATTACCCGATAGTTGCTTTGTCGTTGATTTTTCACACATTGGGTTTCATAAAAACTTCAGCCTCAATCGATTTCCTGTAAAAAAGAAAAAAAAAAACGAAAAAAAAGTTATAGATTACTACATCAGGTATTTTGTTTTGTAATCACTATATTTTTTTTTTTTTTTTTTTTTACTAGGATTAATTTTTTATGATGGATTTGTAAAGATACATGTGTCATGTAGTGTATATTATGGTAAATTCATGTGAAATTAATCGTAATATCTAGCGTTATCTACGACTGTTCATTCAAATGAATGGAAAATGATCATCTTCGACTGATTCAAAATTGTTGCGAATTAATTGTCACAAAGCTTCCTCCTCCACATTTTTTTATTTGCTTATTTTATACATTTCACATTTATTTATATACACACAAATACATTGGGGTATTTTAGTTTACGTATTACACTAATAATTCGATGTATTTATAGAGTTTTTCTTTTTTTAGGGCGCAAAAGTGAGGGCCCAAAGTATTAATCAGGCTTGTGTCATGGGCATAAAGTAATTAAAAGTTTTTTTTAATCACCAAAATCAAAAGTATTTTCAGTGCACTCAAAATTAAAATTTTGTTAAATGGTAAAATATAGTTTTATGTATACCATATAGACTACTATACACACACTTAATTTTATATTCTTGCATTTTAATATTTTATACAAGTTACCTAAACTATTATTCATTTATATTTACTTATTCTTGTTTTATCGATTAATTTATTTGTTTTCATATCATAATTTATTCTTAGTTGATACAGCATACATCCATTATATTTTTAACTGCCAGTTCTATAAATGAATAAATAATCACTTTAAAGTACAATTTGCTAAAAAAAAAAAGTTAATACACTATTTTTATTAGAAACATTTTTTTCCACGAGTCTGTTAGACACATTACAAACCCGTTTTAATGCTGTATCCAGTAAAAAATTGTGCAATATTTTGCAAAGAATAAAGTGTAATTTTAAGTATTACGCAAAACTTTTTCTGATACGTTTTTATGTGTGGTAACAAGTATAGTAATCCAAATAACACTTCTAGCACAAACAAAAATCTTTACACACTTCTACGAAAAATTGCATGTCAAATTATTTAAATAAACGAATGGAGGAAACAATGAAGCAATGATGAAACAGTAATTTAGTTTTTTTCTGACCAAATAAATATAGTTCGTACACTGAAACATTCTTGCCGAGCAAACGCAATTTACTTTCCACGCGTGTGAGTCAGCATATGCTTCGTAAGATTACTAGAAACGGAAAAACTTTTTTCACACACCGAGCACTTGTAGGGCTTCACCCCCATGTGGATCCTCATGTGCTTTATAAGATTGCTCCTGCCAACGAATGACCTTAGGCAAATGGCACACTCGCCATAAGGTATGCCCGTGTGTACGCGCATGTGCCTCGTGAGGGTACTTTTTAGTCTAAAAGATTTCGGACAATCCGAGCACTGGAAGGGCTTCTCCCCAGAGTGGGTCGTCATGTGCGTCCTAAGACATCTTTGGCTACTAAATGGCTTGTCGCATACGAAGCACTGACAAAGGGCCGCATCGGCGCAGTGGAAGCGCATGTGAGTCTTGAGATGAAACTTGCGACCAAATGACTTCGAACAATCGGAGCACTTGTAGGGCTTCTCCTTCGCGTGAGTCTTCTTGTGCCTCCTCAAATTGCTCGGGTCGAAAAATGTCTCTCCACAGATGTCACAGCGACCATAAGGCAAGCCCGTGTGGACGCCCACGTGAATTTCGAGCTGGATCTTCTGTCTGAAAGACTCCGGACAATCCGAGCACTTGTAGGGCTTCTCCCCCGTGTGGACCCTCATGTGCCTCTTTAGGTTGCTGGGATTGACAAATGACTTTTGGCACACGGAACAGTGGCTGTAAATTTGTTCGGTGTGAACGCGCACGTGTCTTTTGAGGTGGAACTTACACCCGAAGGTTCTCGAACACTCCGAACACTGGAAGGATTTCTCCCCCCCGTGGGTACGCACGTGTGTTTTGAGGCCGCCGGAGGTGGTGTAGCTTTTTTGGCACACCGAGCACCTGTAGGGCTTCTCCCCAGTGTGGGTCCTCATGTGTTNAAAAAAAAAAAAAAAAAATTCATTTAAAATTGCACTTGGCATCTAAAATTAAGTTGCCTTCTTTTACGATCCACGCTATTTTTAGTGAGAATTAGCTTTATCTTCTCCAAAACTTAAATTTTCGATAATCTTTTTTTTTTTTTTTTTTTTTTTTCCTTTTAGCCATCACTTTTTTCATATCGGCGGCACGTGTAATTTTTTTTTTATTCCCCTCCAAAGACACACTGGATCAAGCAGTAATCTTTCGGGAGTTTCATGGTTTACGCAACGCCTGGGCAATTATCCCACGTATTATGTCACACCCAAAAAGCCCGAGTATAAAAAGATTGCCCAAATCTCTGGTGATCGGAATTGCAAGCGCACCCTACGCGTTGTTAAAACCCCCAAAAAGCTTGAAAATTAACCATCTCCAGCGAAAATGTCCAAAGTCGCGGTGGTAGTCCTCGCGCTCTCGCTCGTCCAACCGTTCGCGGAATCGGCGGAGACACTGAATTACCGCAGGTACATACCGCACCCGGACCGCGACCTCACCATAAGCTACGACTTCGGGGCGAAGGCGGCCATCTCCTACGCGCTGTGCGAACGCTCCGGCGACAGGACGTGCCAAGTGACCCTCGAGACCCTGACCTCGGGGCGCGCGAAATCGTGCACCGTTCCGTTGTCGTTCGGAGGCGCGAGGAAGTACCTGGTGCGACAGGTCGGCGACGACGAGGTGGTCCTCGTGTGGAAGCAGTCGGAGGTCGAGCACCCAAGGCGTCGCCGGGGGTTTTCGGGGCTCCTGAAGTACCGCACGGAGCACTTTAGGGTGAGCGTGGTGAGGATGTCGGACTGCGACGTCAAAGAGACGGGCGTCAGTGCCGAGGAGGTTGACGACGACGTCGTCGATACTGTCCGTTATCTCCGCGCTGACCTTCAAATCCGGGACTTGAGCGTTTTGTCGATCGGCAATGGGTCCTTTGTCTTGCTCCTTCGCAACAGGGAGCTCTGCGGCCAGGACTCGAGGTGCGGTCTGACTTACGACTCCAAGACGCGGAGGTTCGATCTTGCAAATGGTAAACGGCCAAACGTTTAATTAATTACCAAATATTAGCCAGATTTCAAAAATTACGAAAAATTTGTCGTGGTACCACCCCTAAAATAGGCAACTAACCCGATTGCCACGGATTTTCATACACTGAGAGAGAAAAATAATGAAAATTACAGAGAAATTTTGGTAGAAAATTACCATTCTGCACAGTAAATCGGCTTCAATCTGCCAAAATAGGGAAAAAATTTTTATTTTTAATGGTAAAGATTATTGTTTTAACAATTAAAATTGTAGTTTGAATCGTAAAAATTATGGTTAGAACAGTAAAAATTTTTATACTGGAAATTAAAATTTATCAGTCGATCTTTTTAAGATTTTTTGTTCCAGCATGGTAATTTTCACTTTTCTAACCATAATTGTAACTATATTTAAACTGTAATTTTAACTGTTACAACAATAATAACTTTTACTGTTAAAAATGATAATTTTTTTTGTTTTTTGCCAGTTTGCATCCAATTTACTATGCGGAGTAATAATTTTTGTTAGAATTTCTCTATTTTTATTATTTTTATTCCCTCTCAGTGTAAAATTCGATACAATACTTCCAAACCCGAAAGACGCTCTGATTTGTAATGTTTAAATTTTTCGCCTCATTACGTTCACGTATATGTATAATTATGTGCGCACAACATGGCGCCTAAATATTATACACACGTCTCGTTGATAGCTTTAGCGGTGGTATAGTTTTTCTTAATTGCTGGAACTTTGCTGTTTGTTGCGCGCACGTAATCACTCCTCCCTCCCTTCCCCTTCGCATCACTTAGTCGATTTTAATTGTCGCTTTCCTCGTCTGCTGTTGTACGTGTGGGAGCTTTTTTCATTTTTTTTTTTTTTTTTTTCATAATAACGAGCAGTTGAAACGAGTTGGCTCCTATAACAAGGGAGTATTAGGGAAAACGGTGATTTCGGTGTTACTTCTGAATCACGATAATTGTTCAATTTGCTCATATATGCGTGTGTACGTAGCTCAGTCAAACTTTAGACTGTGTAAGTTGCTGCTGTTCTTTGGAAAATTTTCTACTTTTCGATAACACGACGTATAATGACTATAGTCGTTAGTCCAACGTTGCCAAGAAGCACTACTTCGAAATTGTCTACTATACGTGCACAGCACCAGCCATTAATATGCCATTAACATTTTTTGGCTTACTCTGGACGGGCACAGAAATCACCTCATCTATTGTAGTGTCAGTAACATTTGAGCATTAAATTGTACACGTCGACGTTTTTTGAAATAGGTAAAATTTAAACATTTTATTTGAATTTCTGTAGTATTATATATAAGATTGCGCACTTACATAAAGATTTAAGTACATTTTCGAGTATTTGAAATAAATTATCGAGCAAAAAATTTGATACAAGTGCTTGGGACAAGGCAGCGATAATTTTTTTACTCGATCATTGAAAATCTGTGTTCGAAAAAAAAAATTAGTTTTGTTTAACAGTTTCGAAAAGTTGTTTCGTTTATAAAACGTGTATATATTCGTCGTAAAAAAAGCATGAAAAAATTTTTTTCCATATTTTTAAAACACGATCGTTGCAATCTGATGACATTTGTTTCATGAACACGTTTCATTTTTTAAGACTTTAATAAAGTAGTAAAAAAAAGTTATTGTCTGCATTTACACGTAAGAATGACAATAACTTTTTCATGGCACTATACAAATACTTGAATCGAATATTCGTCACTATTCAGTTAAAAATTACTCGGAATTATATTTTTTGTTTCCTTTTGTAAATTTTAAATCGGCTTAGTTGTTATTCGAGTTGATGAACTAATTTAAAAAAAAGTTTCACAGTTTTTCTGGTGCATTAAAGAGAAATTTCGTTCATTCATTCAAATAAACTCATTGTGTTACTAAATACATAAATATTTTAGATGAAAAATCAAAAACATCGTTAAGAACCTGTCGATGAATGTCAACCAGTTAGAAGAAATGTCATCATTCACGTTCATATTATTCTTACATTGAATTTCCAAAATATTCGTAGCTCGTGTACAGTATTTATTAACAAAAAAAACACAACACGGAATTCCCGGTGAATACCGAGAACAAGTGCTACCTCAAACCCGTACCAGAGTCACTTTTAATATTTCACCGTACATTGATTCACATAAAACCGCATTTTGCAACCTAATTTTACAATACGACACTACAAGAAGTAATTACAACACGGAAAAATAAGTAATAACGAAAATAAGTAAACGCGTGGTTATTAAAATTATTTTTTCCCCCTTATTTTTTCTTACAGAAGTAACTTCTTGAACAAATGTGGCTCCCATTCTTCAACACACTGTAACATTGTTATTGTTGTTGTGAAAACTATGTATACCATTGAGTGAGTGGCTCGTTCAACGTTCCATTAAAAGCGTATACCATTCGTACCAACATGTTCGAGGACGAAAAACGGGATTCCAACAGCACCGAGGAAAGCTCGATTCTCTGCGAGGTGTGTGGCAAAGTTTTCGTCACCCTCGCACTTTTCACGAGGCACCGTCTAGTCCACACGGGCGAAAAACCCTTCGAGTGCTCGTATTGTTCCCAAGCGTTTAGGCACAAAACCACCCTCGTGTCGCACATGAGGACCCACACGGGGGAGAAGCCCTACAAGTGCTCGGATTGTCCGGAATCCTTCAGGCACAGGCACCACTTTACGAACCACGTGCGCGTCCACACCGGGATCGCTAGTGCCCACTGTCACATCTGCCAAAAGTCATTTATCAGCTCCAGCGATTACAAAGTGCACATGCGCATCCATACCGGGGAGCGTCCCTACGCTTGCTCGACGTGTCGAAAAACCTTCACCTTTTTTGGCAACCTGGAAAAGCACGCGCGGACCCACACTGGGGAGAGACCCTTTGGGTGCTCGTTGTGCCAAAAGTCGTTTAATCAGAAAAACCACCTAACGAGACACATGCGTGTACACATCGGCATAGTTTGTAGCCAGTGTTCCTTTTGCCAAAAGCAATTTACCGATCAGAGCAATTTCAAACGGCACTTGAGGACCCACACTGGGGAGAAGCCCTACAAGTGCTTGGGGTGTCAAAAAAGTTACACCACCTCCAGTAGCCTGGCGAAGCACATTCGTAAATTTCACAATACACGCTGATTGTATTGGGAAACATTTACTTTTTATACGACATCTTTATAAAATTGTTAAGTAGAAGAGGCAGGATTTATCTCGTTAGGTTAAATTATTTCGTGTTTAAAATAAACTCGTGATTAGTACAACAGTGTTATACTTGTCATGCATAAAGTCTGTAACTACGAAATTACCTATATTTTTTATTAAATGTTAGTAAGAATATACAGTTACGAAATTTCATTAATAAATGATAAAGTAGTTAAGTAATTTATTTCATATAATATTGTTGTTTACTCTTGTTAATTTTCTAAACATCATCGGATGATGAAGATATTACGGAAGTTACTTCGTGCTTAATCCATATTTTATTATTGTAGCGCACAAAAAAATTGTTACTTTAATGAATGTGGAAAAGACGATGAATAGTTTAGTCAACATGTATAAATTTTACATGTTACATACATATTGTTCAATTCATTGAAACTTTATTATCACTTTTATTGGTGAATAAAAAAATTATTACATGTGCAAACTGTCTTTATAAGACTACTTCAATGAAACAAATATCAGCCAACTGTTTCAAAACTGAAAAATATTTGTTATAATTGATTTAGATTTTTGTGGTACTACGCAAAATAAAACCTTTTCAAAAATTATAACAAAAAAGGGCTCTTACATATTTATATTGTGTTAAAATTCTTTACAAATTATCAATCGATTTTGAAATAATTTAATTTACTATTTCAAAATTCTTATGTATTATTAAAAAAATAA